CAATATTCTTATATAATTTTTGTATTACATTTAATTTAAAATCTCATGTTTTGTAAATTTAAACATCAATTAGGAGGTGGAAATATTGCAAGTACGAAATGACAAAGGGAAAAATATTTGCTACAAGTAAAAGAAAATTATGGCCAAGAAATTACCGAACTATTAAAACGCAAGCAAATCGTTGTATTATGCGATGAAACGACTAATCGAAAAGGAGAAGCAGTTTTTCAAATGCTGTTTCGAATTTTACCATCGGAAACAAAAGTGAAATCTCTCAATGTCGTAGCTCCAGTAAAAGTTCTAGAAAGTTGTACAGGCAATTTTTGTTCAAAAGCAATTTTACAGGTATGTAAATAATTTAAAAACTATATCTTTTTTTATTAATTTTTTTTTATTAATCCGAGGGTCTATTTTCCTGTATTAACTACTGGACGTCTGACATTTAAAGTCGGATAGTAGTAGTGCTCAATGTGATCGCATCCCTATTTTCGCCTCGTCACATAGTATTAAAGAAAATTTGATATTTAACGAATTGCCGGATTATAATGTCACAGTTAACATTGCAGTTGACATAATGCACGACGGACCCGAAAGTTTCATGGTTTCTGGTATGGTGGCAATTATAAATCATTACACAGCTAAGACTACTAAAACTAGAAAATAGGATTTTTTTATTGATTAGCTAAATAATATAATACTTTCTTTCGACTTTAGTCCTTATTGCACAAACGATCCACCTCCGATTCTACCTGATCATTGGAAAAATTATAGAATAAATATGTTCGCTTCGGAAATACTGACTTTCGTAAAATATTTTGGACTCATAGTAGGACCCTTAATTCAAAAGGATGATCCTGTTTGGAATTTTTATTTGATTTTGCGTAAATTGACAGATTTATTGACTGCTTCAGCTTTGCAGCGTGATTGCATTAATCTTATACAAGTTTTAATTAAAGAACATAATCGCCAATATATCAAATTATTTAAGCAAAATTTAAAACTTAAGGCACATTTCGTAACACACATTCCTGAGGTTATTAACACTAGTGGTCCCTTGGTACATATGTGGTCCATGCGGACCGAGTCAAAACATCGCGAATCGAAAATATCTCTTCCTGCATCAAATTGTCGAATTAATATTTGCACCACTTTGTCAACGAAGCACCATTTAAGACTGGTTCATCACTTTTTAAAAGGGACAATTTTTTCGAACAGAATTGAAATAGGTCCCACAACGAATGTTAACGTCTCTGATTTACCATTAAATGCCAATTCGAAATCAATATTAAAATATGCTATTATAGTAATTTCAAATTGGATAAGTAAATTTGGAACAAAGTACAGTCCAGGTTCAGTTGTATGCAAAGGTTTTAATTTCTCTATAATTGAGTATTACATGTTATTTAATCACATTTTAGCATAATTTTTTTAAAAATACTATCTTATAACGAAGATGTAAGTATAAAAATATTTTCAATATCAATATATCGAAAAAATTATAATTGATACCAATTACTATGAAGCTTAATTTAGAGTATTTTTGGGGTCTCTAATTAGGATCTTGACGTCAATATAATGTAATTCGGAATCATTTTTTATCCAATTAATCTAATATTGCAAGAACTTCAAAAATATTGAAAATGGAAATTTTTTCTGATTAAAATGATATTGCAGGATGTCCAGAATTGTAATTCATCTGTAATACTTAGATGTTAAAAAGATTTGGTATTTCAATAATAGATTTTACTTTCAGAGATGTTTTGAGCAATGCAAAGAAAAAAGTTTAACTCGGTGTCTATTTTTATTTAATAAAATTTCTGGCTTTGCCTAAATTTTTACCGGTACATCTTTTCTCACCAAATTTAAATATACTTGATTTGAATAAAACTTTTTTTTAATTTGATAAGAAAATTCCAGATTTGGCATATTCTCGCCTTATTCACAGTTTTTCCAGGTCACATTAATTTCCCGTTTTTCCCGGTGATAGACACTCTGTTAAATGTATTAGTAGAAACAAAAACCCGTCGTAAATCTTCTTTTAAAAAATTGCTTTTTACTTTAATTTTTATTGATGTAATATTTATGAAAACCGACCCAAATTAGTTTGAATTAGACTCTACAATAATTCCATAAACTGATAGAAATTGTGGATACATTTTTAATAAATTAATATTAAAGTACTACTATATACTGTAAAAAATATTATTGGTAACATAATTTTAAAACGAATAGAAAAAACGATGCCGTATCGACTATAAACAAATGAATAATTTATTTGTTAACTTAATTCGTTTATAACATTAATAAATAATATTTTTTGAACAATATTTATGTACAGTTGTTAATAGTGACTTAATCTGAAGCCATTAGAAAAGAAAGACAATTTTTTTACTTTAAACAAGCGAGCTATTCATTTGTTAATTTAACTTAAATTAAAAGTTGTTTAAAACTATAAAAAAACTTTTATTGTCCAAGTATCGTTTTTTATCTTTTAATTTGTAATACTCATAAGATTTAATCAATAACGAGAAGAAACAAATTTTTTTCTTAATTTATGAGAGGAAAAGCTATTAAAGACATCATTAATTTGTTATTTGCATTAAAAATAATAATAATAAAAATTCGAATTTAAAAAAAGTGCTTCCTTAAGTTTTTTACAAATTTATTTAAGTTATTACAAAAAAATTTGCGAGGTTTCGACAAAATCTGTGGGCTGTACACTTTTTTTAACAGTAAATTGCAGATTCAGACCACAGTGTAGCGCCTCGTTGTATTTCCCACACAGGTACTTGCAAACATTTCAAGATTGCCTTAATAAAATAAATTCAAAAATATGTAGAATGAAAGCCTAAAACTTAGGGGCCATCCATAAATCACGTAGCCTCTTGAGGGGGAGGGGGGGGTCAAGCAATTGACTACGACAAGAGGAAAAAATGGCGCTAATACATGTAATAGCGTACTAAATGGGGGGAGGGGGGGTCAAAATTCCCAAAAAATGGGGCTACGTGGATTATGGACGGCCCCTTACTGAAACTGTGGCCCGTTGAAATTTTTATGTGCAATAATTTATATTGAAACTATGAAAGAGTATATTCCCTGTAAAAAAAAAGTATTGGGAGGTACGGGATTCCGTATTGCAAGTGCCAACCTGCCAATGCGGTATTCGCGAATTACCGCATTGGGTGTCGTGGTGAATACGGAAATCATGGGGTCCCAATGCGGTGCCAGTTTTAAGCTTTAAAAAAACGAAAATACGTGACAGGAGGAAATAATTAGTGTCAGTGGAGAAATATGCGAGTTAAAGGAATGAGAAAATAATAATAGTGAGTGTAAAAATGAAATTTTAAGAAAAAAAGGTAAGTTGAACTGTCAAATATGGGCCCAATGAGGCATAGGCTGATTTCAATGCGCCACAGCAAAAGCAACTTTGACTGGTTTGAATGGCGTGAAATAGATAAACAAACATTTTCTAACACATTTGTCTCCGTACACAGACACTTTTCACTAAATCTGCCAACGTACAATTGGTAAGCATCTTCTAAATTACAATAATCGAAAATATTGTTTAGATTCATGCAGAAACGTGGTTATAAAATAAAAAATTGGAAAGTAATGTAATGCAAATCATATGTCAGCTGGGCCACTGTGTTCGCTCGATTCGCTCTGCTTGCTTCTGCCCTCTACTGGCGACTTGCACTATGTACCGATTGTGTACCGCATTGAAAGCAGCCTACGCCGCATTGGACTCATATTTGACAGTTCAACTTACCTTTTTTTCTTAAAATTTCATTTTTACACTCACTATTAGTGTTTTCTCATTCCTTTAACTCGCATATTTCTGCACTGACACTAATTATTTCCTCCTGTCACGTATTTTCGTTTTTTTTAAAGCTTAAAACTTGCACCGCATTGGGACCCCTTGATTTCCGTATTTACCACGACACCCAATGCGGTATTTCGCGAATACCGCATTGGCAGGTTGGCACTTGCAATACGGAATCCCGTACCTCCCAATACTTTTTTTTTTACAGGGTTGTTCTTGAATTCGACAGAGATCACGGTTGTGTTAGGACCGCAAATGACGAAATTGTCAGGACAACCTAAATATTCTAATCCAAAACAATCGAAAACAACAGATTTTCATCTGTAAAAAATCTTTTTATTAAAAATAAATAAAAATATATAAGACTTTCAAAATATTACATTTTTAACTGCGAAATTAAATTCTAAAGTGTAATTTTTACTTATATATTCAATTTAACCACTTCTTAAGGCAAATGTAAATGAGATAGAATTGGCGGTATATTAAAACGTACTAATGGGAAAAAATTGCATATAAGAGAGACATTTTTTTGCTAGTAGAATAAAAATATTATTTTCCTCTATAAATACCAAGTATGTCATTATAAATAATATTTTACGTATAACAACGATTGCGTTTTATTTTTTATCTTAGAAACCCTTTGAGATCCCAAGATGAAACTTGCACGACAAGTAGAGCACATTTGCCCAATATTTAGTAAAATTTTGAAAAAATTAAAGATGTTTTTTTAAATAGTTGATTATTTTTTTATGAAAATTGGTGTGATGAAGTTACGTAGACTTCCCCAGTAATGAGTACATAAAATCGTACCTCTAAAATGTTAATTAAAAAACAAAATGTGTTCTTTTTCTCAAATAAATTAAACATGTATACTTATTTATTTCTTATGTATTTAATTCTGCTTTTGTATTACGTAAGCTATTGTTTTTAAAAATTATCTTATACATTAAAATGTTATGAGATTTATAATCATCTAAAATTATTATAATTATAATCTCAATAATATTGATAGAAACTGTATATCTGAGCATCCAAATTAACACATTGTTTTATAAATTCAATTTATTTAGTGGTTAGGGTCAGTGTAATACCAATTTTAGTACAACTATTTATAGACCATTTGGATGCTTCTCTATCTGAGTTCTACCTATGTAGCACAGTTTACAAGACTCAGGTTTTAACAGTGTCTTGTGGGATTTCGCAGTTGATGTTGAGAAGTCTGCAGAAGATATATCATCATGAATGATATTAGTGAACATGAAGTTTGCGCTATGTGTAAGTCACCGGCAATACAGAAATGTAGTGGCTGTAAATCAGTTTTTTACTGCAGTCGTGAGCATCAGAAACGCCATTGGAAAGAACATTCAAAAAAATGTACTTCATACAAAGTAAGTAACAATAAGTATATCTAAAATCAATGAATTCTTCATAATTAAAATTGTATTTAGGACATCGGGTTGATTTTAATTAATATATTAACTAATAATTAATATTTCACAAACTAAAAGGGTATAAAATTTATTTATATGTTCAATAAATTCAATAATTCAATAATCTACATTAATAAAATTTTTGTTCGGATGTTATTTTTTTTGCTTAATGTTTTCTTTCTTCTACTGTGAAAGATAAATATTTTTGACTTGTGTTCAAACAAGAGCGGTTCCCCTGGCGGATAAAACCTGACGAAAACACGACGAATTTGTCATCATTTCGCCAAGCTTTCGTACCATTCTAATGTTAGAATAAATATAATAGAAATAGTAAAGAGAAATATTGAAAACAATAAGTGGTTATCCAAGGATTAAAGTTATAAAATATTTAATATAAATTAATGTTTATTTATTAAAACATTAATGTTAAAAATCAGAGATGTTAGCTTTACAATGCTATGTGTATTTATGTGTCACATGAAAAGTATAATAAACTGTTGACATGTTGCCTTGCATTTAAAAAGTTTATACTTTTGTAATGAACTAAATAACCAATACTTTTAACAATATTGTTAAAAAACAATTTTTTTCTCTTAATTTTTATTGCTTTTTATTAATAATAAAACTGTTGTAACTCAGTCATTTTTGATCAAATTATCCTCAGATTTGGCATGTATATAGCGTATATTCGACAGATAAATACAAAACAATGAAAAATGAATAAATTTTATACTGTTAATAACTATTTAATTGTAAATTAAAAATAATATAATTTATACTTTCTTATTTTCGCCATCTGAAAGACTCCAGGAAATTTTCGAGTTGACCAAACTTCCAGTGAGAAACTTATTTATTGCATGCTAAAAAAGTTTTTAGGAACGTTTCGTATTGATTTATCGCAATTCTTCAATGTTTTGTGACATTTAACAAAATCAAGTGACGTGGCGCTGCGCTGCGAGTCGCAACACTAATTCTATCAGACTATTAACGGTGTATACAATCTTATAGACCAAAATTATATGTATACCAGTGTTAATTAGATAATTATTTTATTCCGAATATGACTAAAGTTATTCAGTGTTTTAATTCCGACAGAAAAAGGATTCAAAAAAATAGAAGAATGAGGTATATGTATAATGTGTTTATATGAGGCATTTTATTTCAAACCGTTTCATCGACAAGAAACAATCGCAAGGAGAGCGATTTTCTTATAAATTTAATGATAGGGTAGAGTGGGGTAAAAAAGCCACATTTTTACTTTTGATGTTGTAAAATCTGTATTTAAAATTTTTTTCTCAAATTTCCAATTGTTATTGAAAGTTTAGTTATTAAGCTTGAAAATTCTTGACGAAAATATTTTTTATCTCATGAAAGGACTAAGTTATAAGAGTTTTACGAAAGCACTGTAAGTGGCTTTTTTGCACCACCTGGTGGGGTGAAAAAGCCACCCTACGATTTTAGCAAAACATGTTATCAATTTAGGTATTTTTATAGTTTCCCTTTATTTATATGACAAATAGTCTCATTTGAAAAATATTCTAATAATTATGAAAGAGTTTTTAGCAAGCAAAATTGAAAATTATATTAAGTTTACCTGTTGTCCATTTGCACTGCCAATTTTTCGTACCTTTTTTAGAAGTTCTCTTTAAGTTTTACCACAGATAACATATTTCGTTGCAACTGTTTATTCATTGTTTATTTTTTAAATGCACTTTGAACTACTTTTTCGTCGTGTTTAATTTATTTTATTAAATAAACACGAGAAATTTTGTAAAATAAGAAGGTTAGTTTAAATAGAAAACAAGTGAATTTCACAAAATATTCAATGGATTTTTTGCCCTGGCTTTTTTACACCCAAGATCAGTTATTAAAAAAAGCAAAAATAAATTGTTAATTCAGTTCAATTTCCAAAAATTAACATTGTATACGTTTTCGGTATACTTTTCTCCTTATGTACAAACATTTACTTTTATTATTCGTTCACTTAATCAAATTGTAATATGTTTGAAAAGTTCACCAAAATGTTTTCAAAAAAGCAACAAAAAATTAAAATTACAATAAAAACAATATTAATCTAGGTACAACATTCAAATTAGATTCAAAAGTTGCGTATTACCTAATAGTATTTATATTCTAAACAGCTGATAAATCGGCTTAATAGTTTTTAAATAAAACTCAAATGGCTTTTTACACCATGGCTTTTTTACCCCACTCTACCCTATAAAAGTTTAATTATTTGTAACATATTATACACTGATTTGAAAAAGAATTTCATAAAGCTTAACTTTTTTAGTTTCCATTTCCTTATAGACATTTAATGGGATTAACAGAAAAAAAAATTGTTTAAAATATGCGTTTTTGGAAAATTTGACAAATGGTACGAAGTTGAATGGGTTAGGATTTAACTTCGTCAACTTTTGTCAAGTTTTTCAAAAATTTGACATTATAAAAACTACAAAATGAAAAAAATTGTTTTGTTTTTGAACCGTTATTTACGATTCGTAGAGGGCGCCAAAATGGCGATCTCAAATGCGGTTCTTCTCAAGTCAAAAATTCAAAAGATCAAATCATCATTTCTTTAAAAAGACGCCATTTTTGTTTTTTAAACTTTTTTTTCATTTCACCACATTAGTCCACTAGGTATTAATGTACACTAACATAAATTTTGTAGTTTTATAATGTACTTTAAGGTGCAGAAATCGTTTTTAATATTTTAAATAAAATGACTGAAAAAAACATTAAAGTGGGACCTATTTTTTGCCTTCGCAAACGCAAGTACGCCTTAAATGTCCATAATATATTATACGGGAATCAAAACTAGAAAAGTTATGCTTTATTTTCATATAATTTTGATAAAAATCGACGGGGGTGTTTTGAGATATTAGGAGTTTAACCTTTCAAACAAGAATTTTTATACGAAATTGAGAGAAATTTAAAAAAATAGCAATAGAAAGTTCATGAACTTCTCTTTCGACTCAGTGTATAATATGCTATAAATAATTAAACTTTTATATAATAACATTTATTAAACAATCGCTCTCCTAGCGATTGTTTTTTGTCGTTGAAACGGTTTGAAATGAAATGTCTAATATATATTTTTTTAGTTAATAATAATGTCGATGTAAAAAGTTATCTTTTACTTGAAAGGAAATGACAGAAAAACGTTATGTTTAATCATTTTCTATCAGCTGGAAATCATCCGTAAGTTTACATTTTCTGGGTCTTTTAATTAAAATTTGAAATTATTTCTAAAATTCTCAATTTTAAATTTTCTCAAATAGTTTAAAAAATTTCTTGAAATTCTTTAAGGACGTTTATGATTATTATTATAACTTTAGACTGGAATATAGTCTTTTTAATTTATTTTAAAATGTAAAAACTACCAAAATTTAGTCGTTTAAATAAAAAAATATCATTATTAAAAAAATTATATTTTTAAAACCAATATAAACAAAATTTATTCAAATGAAAATTAGTATTCTTTTTTTTAAATATTATTTAGAAGATGTTTATGTAACAAATTTAATTCAAACAATAAATTTCGGTACGTATGAATTAATATTTTATTTTGTTTGTCTGTTATAGATGTATATGTGTTAAAATAACTATTATACTCATAAGAAATTTGTTGAATGACCCATACAAAAAATTCTATTTAAACAGTATCTACTCTATTTAATACTGAAAATAACGTTTTAGGGAGGAGAATATCGACGGTTTAGAGTGCAAACCTGCTAACTCCACTTTTTATCAAATTTGAGATTCTTTTTGTATTTGATAGATAAAGAGGTGATACATCAGCTAAGTAAAACAGTTTGACGAAATTATGTCTCTAAATTGCTAAAAAAGTGTTGTGAGTAAAACAGCTAACTCTATACCTGTCAAATTGCACTGCTATAACTTCACATAATATAGTATATATTGTATTGCATTGAAATGTGTCTATATTTTGAGTGTAAGAGATATCAATTAAAATATATTTCAAAAGGAAGTACTTTTTATTATTAAGTAGCATTATGTTGTTCTGTTAATAAAACAAATATACTGAAAGTTTTGTTCTATAAGAATATAACCTAAAAATTCTTTTGAATAGTTTTTTGACTCTTCTGAAAAATTTCATAATTGTGAGTTAGCAGGTTTGCACTCTAAACCGTCGATATGTCACTTGATCTGGGATAACCGTCGAAGAAAAATGTTTTAAAGAACTTGACCAATTTGCAATGTTTTCAAAATGTTACGGCCAAATAACAAAAAGGTTGTTTCAATACTTTTTGGAATCACGGCGATTATCACCTACAAAATGTCATATTGAGCGGTATAATGACCCAAAGAATCCCGTCAGACTCATCCAAATCTCAGGAAAAAGCCATAAGGTGGAATTATATTTTTCATTCAAAAACGGAAAACATTAACGTTTGTCAAAAATTTATGTGCATTTTGTTGCAAATAAAACAAGGAAGATTCGCAACAATTAAAAAAATGAATCATTTAAGAGACAATCGTGGAAAACATGAAAATCATATTACATTGTTGAAAAACGAAATAAAGGAACTAATACATTTACATTGTGAACCAGTACGTCACTCCGAATCTCACTACCGACGTGAATCTTTAAAATTGAAATACTTTGATAATCCAGATTTAAATATAAAAATATTAAAATAGATGTAAATGTTTTTTGGAGTAATTAAATGTAGTATATGATGTTTTTTGTTTTTAAAATCTACTTATTTATTTCTCTTTTCTACATTAGCTTTCGCCCAACAACGTTGGGCCTCTTCAGATGAGAAATCTAGAGAAAAAATTATAAAGAAAATATTATATGGTAAATACGACTAAGAGAAGTTATATCAGTTTTTTATTAATAGAGTTGTTATTTTTTAAAATATGGAACATTTCTTTAAAAAGTCGCTTTTTACGACTATGCTCCGTACAAATAATTTTTGTATTCTGAAATT